TTCTCTTTGTAATAACTTTTAACAAAATGGAAACCATAACCACATATACTATATAGTCTCAGTTTTTCTCTTATTGGGATATCACTTGCATTCTTGGACATGGTCATTTTTAATTACTTTATAGTTCATATTATTAAGTATACCATGTTCAATTTAGCTAACCTGGAAATATTGGTGGTTGTAAATTTTTGCTCTTAGAAATAATGGCATCATGAACTCTTTTCACTGTAAATCTTGGCTGCAGCTCTTGTACTATTTTAGGACTAATTATTTGGGTTAAAATTTATGGAAAATGAATTATACTTTTAGGAAATTTTTTTTTCATATTTGGTATTTTGCTTTCCAGAAAGAATGCACAGAATTATGTTGCCACCAACAATATATGAAATTTCCTATTTCCCTCTCTATCCACTAACTTGGTATATTGGTTTTTCTTCTTTTTCTAGGGGATGGCAAATATTATTTGACATCACTTACAGGTCAGAAAATTTGTATTTGTCATTATCCAATGATTTTTCCAGAATCAAATTCCACATATGAATTCTTAGAACTCCAAAGTCATCCTAATTACATCATTTTACCTCCAGGGGCTTTTCCCCATCAGATGTTCCTGGACTCAAAGCTACTGCTTTCCCAGTCTCTCCACTGAAAACTTCTATTCGTTCAGAACTTTTGGTCTCAGGGAGGTTTTTGGAGGAAAGCAACCCGATAAAATTGCTTTTCCCTAATTTCTGAATAATTACTAGGACTTAAACCTGTACTTTTAAAAAGAGAATTCTTAGAAACTAAACCTTGAAGAATCTCCAGAGCTGTTATTTTGTTATATATATATAACATATATAGATGTATTTATATGTAACATATTATATATATATATGTATGTATATATATATACATATGTAATACATATATAACATATAAACAGAATGAAGTAGGAAGGAGGACCCGGGCAGAAAGCAGATTTTTAGAAGGAAATATATCTTATTTCCTTAAGGACTTAAACCTGTACTTTTAAAAAGAGAATTCTTAGAAACTAAACCTTGAAGAACCTCCAGAGCTGTTATTTTGTTATATATGTATAACATATATAGACGTATTTATATGTAACATATTATATATATATATATATATATATATGTATGTGTATATATATACATATATAATACATATATAACATATAAACAGAATGAAGTAGGAAGGAGGACCTGGGCAGAAAGCAGATTTTTAGAAGGAAATATATCACTTTGCTTGCCTTGGAATCTGTTCCCAGCTTCAGCACCTCTAAAACAGGCCTTGTTTTTCCCAGCTTCTTTTCTTCCTCTTCCAAAACCTCAGATGCTGTACTTGTTAACCATGCTGCACAATGGGCTCTCTGGGGATCTCTGAAACTTCCAAGGCCTGGGGCCACCCTGAAGCCTGCCTTAATTAACCTGGTGTGGGGCCCTGGGACCTGTCTTTTCAGAAGCTCCCCAGGTGCTCCCTTTGTGTGGTCAGCACCGGGAACTACTGACCTAATAATTTTCTTCAGAAGAGTGAAGATTTCACATAGGCTCCCCCTGCAGGGATTCAGGACCATGAAGGAAAAGATCCAAAAGATCAAACCAAAAGGAATTGCGGACCAGAAAAGAGAAAAAAAAAAAAAAAAGTGAAAGAAAGAAAAGAAAAAAGGAAAAAGAAAACAACCAAGCAAACTCTTATTAATAACAATGTGAAAGAGAGCGACATGGGTAGTGATGGGGGAAGGGGAGGGGACCCAGAGTCAGAACACAAAGGCCAGTGCTCTGGCCCTGCCACTCACAGGGCTCAGACTTCTTCCTTTAGGCCACATCCATTTGTAAAAGGAGCAGAGGATGTATATCTGATTAGCTGGGGTTCTCCCCATGGCCTCTGTTTCCTTCTTCTTTACTCTAGCTCTGATGCTTAGCAGAGCGCTGGGCTCTTAGGGGTTATTTTTTTACATCCTCTAAGTTGGATTAGTTAAGGACTTCTTTTCACCTCCAACAATCTATAGTTTGTCTGCAGATGCAGTCTTCTATATTATGCAAATGTATTTCAATCAGTATGCAAATAAGAGTAAAAAGAAGTAAAGACCTGCAGCTGGCTATGCCCCCCAAATGCCCCTGCCAGAAGTCAAATGTTCATCACCAGGAAACACCTGACAGAACCTCTACCTCATTAGCAGAGTCCCTGTGGTTAGGACCCAAACACTGGCTTTTGGGAGGAAGTAAGGCTGCCAGGTGGAGCAGCCCTTGGGTTCACCCCAAGCAGATGTTCAAGGCTGCAGCAAAGACTGCTAGAGAGCTGGCTGGAAATGCAGGAGGGTCTCTTACATCTGGCCTATTGTGAGCAGATGGGGCACAGCTGCCTTGGTGCATCACAGCTGGGCCCCCAGCCTGGTGCTGTGCTTCTCCCTGGGCATCTTCTCCAACCATCTGAGGGCTCAGGGGCACAAGCTCTTTAGTAGCTATTCTGAGAAGCCCTGCAGACCTTGGCTCTGATTTTCAGTGCTTCCTTCCCAGCTTGTTTCTTAGGGACTGCTCCACTAGGCTCTACCAAATCTGATCTCTTTTACCTCTAGGAATAGCTCTTAATCCATCCCTTGCTCTCAATTTGCATTGCTGCTACTTTGGCTGAGACTCCCATCATTCTGTATCCTGGGACCAGTGCATGCAGTAGGCCCTATCAGTTCTGCTTCCAGCCTTGATTCCTCCTAGCTGTCCTCTGCCATGGCAGTCTTTGCATATGTACCTCCAGCCATGTTGTTCCCATGCTAAGGACCCCTCATGGACTCCCATTGTTCTAAAGCAGTGATTTTCATTCCTGGCTATACATTAGAATCACCCAGGGAGCTTTTAAAAAAAATCAGATGCCTAGGGTCCCATTGCCAAGGGTTCTGATGGAATTAGCTTGACTAAAGCATTCTCCAGAATCATTTGTTCAAGGAAACTGTGGAAAGCCATTCCTTGGCTTGGCATTGCAGGCCCCTGGGTGATTGGATTCATCCTCAGTTACCTTCCTATTGCCCTCTCCTGCTTCTCAGTCCAGACCTGTGCTTTTTTGTAGTTTCTCTGTCTCTTGAACTCTTGCTCTATGAGTAGAGAGCTCTTGTGGATTTTAGAAACTCCCTGAACCATCTCTGCTTTGAAGCATTTTTAGGATCCTCACATGCCATTACTTAGGTTTTCTTTCTTCTCTTCTCCCATATTACTGCACCAACCAAAACAGCAAGTGTTGTTCTTTGCTTGCTTCTCTGTTTATCCCACTACCCTGGACTCAAAGGACAGTGTTCTAACCCGTGTTGCATACATCTCTTCCATTTAATGAGAGATTATAGGCACCATGTGATGTCTTCACACTTCCAGAAGGGAGGGACAACTTCGCAGTTGCTGTTCTGTCCGTTTGTTTTAGCTAACATTGTCTACTTACGATGTGGCACCACTGTATTAACTACTGTATAATTCTCGCAATGGCGAGTAAGTCCAATCATTTCCTCCTTTTGCGGGGAAGAAAACTGAAGCAATAGGAGTAGAAACGCCGCTCAACACACAGCAGGGCACAACAGATGTCTATTGAGTGAAAATATGTGTGGCAACGTGATTTTGTCACAGACACATCTTTGGGACTGGATCAGTGATTAAGAGTCTGTTTGCTTCAGCACGCACCTGACGTGAACAGTCTTAATAGATGATACACTTTGTAAAAGGAAACAGTCCCTATCTTTATGACTAATTCCCAAATCAGTTGTCTCAATCAAATAGTCCATCAGGGTAGTATGCACCAAAGACATCTGGGGTGTGAGAACAAGGAGGATTAACTTGTAATAAACACCTACTATGGGGTGCCTGAGTGGCTCAGTCTGTTAAGCATCCACTCTTGACTTGGGCTCAGTCATGATCTTGGGGTTGTGGGATCAGAACCCTGCATCGGGCTCTGTGCTAAGTGAGCAGTCTGCTTCAGATTCTTTCTCCCTCCCCCTCTGTCCCTCTATGCTCTCTTTAAAAAAAAAAAACAAATAAATAAATAAATAAAATCTTAACAACAACAACAACAATAAAACCCACCTACTATGCCTGCAACTGTCCTAGAAACTTCCCTGGCTGATCTCAATTGATCCTTTTACAATGACACAAAGTGGGAATTATGATCTTTGCAGATGATAAAGCCAGAGTTCAGGGAAGGCAGGTAACTCAGCCAGTGTCACAGAAGTTGAGGAAAAATGTTGGGAATGAACTGGTCTGTTACTTCTCTCAGATGGGAGGCTGCCTCTGCCTGGCACAAGAGTTAGTATTCTTCATCTATTTTTGCCTTTAAAAACAGTTTATTTTTTCCTAAAAAAAAAAAAGGCAGATAAGGCACTTGTGGAAAACTGTGAGAAAACTGAAGTCACCTATAACCCCACCACCCAGAGATGAAATCACTATGGACATTTGGAAATTTTTTTTTTTTCCTTTCAACAGTTTACTCTGCATTTATATAGCAAGAGATCTGTTCACATGGCCCCGCCTTTTGTTGTAGTATACAGAAAAATTTGTGTTTTCCCTTTTGTTCTGAAACCAAATGTATCAGATGCGGTTCAGCCACTTTAGAAATAATAGAATTAGGGGCGCCTGGGCGGCTCAGTGGGTTAAGGCGCTGCCTTCGGCTCAGGTCATGATCCCAGGTCCTGGGTTCAAGCCCCGCATCGGCATCGGGCTTTCTGCTCAGCAGGGAGCCTGCTTCCTCCTCTCTCTCTGCCTGCCTCTCTGCCTACTTGTGATTTCTCTCTGTCAAATAAATAAATAAAATCTTTAAAAAAAAAAGAAATAATAGAATTAGAGCAGTAAACAGAGGAAGAAAGGTGAAGTGTGTGGAATCGCGGGGTTTGTAGTTTAAGTACAGGGACACAAGGGGCGCTTGCTGAGGCACACAGGGAGCACAGCAGGGGAGGAGCGTGAGCCCCCCTTGCTCCAGACCGCCCTACTCAATCAACCCCATGCCGGCCTTTCCTGTTTCTTTTGCAGGAAGCAGCTTGAACGATGGCTTGTGGCATTCCGTTAGCATCAACGCCAGAAGGGACCGCATCACTCTCTCTCTGGATAATGATGCAGCATCCCCAGCCCAGGACACCACCCGTGTGCAGATTTATTCTGGAAATAGCTACTACTTTGGAGGTAAATTCCCCAGGTTTTGAAAGTAAAGGAGGGAGGGAGAATGCAGTGAACAATTATTTTGCCCTGATGATTTTTTTTTTTTTTTTTGCCAATTAGACCATTCACACATGTACACACACACACACACACACACACACACACACACACACACACGGGTACCCACTCCCAAGCATGAAATAATGAGAAGCAAACTCTCTGACAGCTGTGCAAAATATAAACTATCTAGGTCAGGACAGAGGAAGGAAAAAAAAAACAACAACTTTAGCTATAAGAGCCGGTGTTATATAACATGTCCAAAGGAGATTTTTGTAGCTATGCCAAGCTCTGTGATCACATTGGTAAGGAGAAAGTCAGCTGAAAACTTGGAGAATATGTACGAAGAGTCAGCAATACGTGCAAAAGGAAAAATCCAGGCAGAAAGGCACAACCAGCAAGTTCAGCTGTCTAGGCTATTCCTCTGCCGCTTTACTGTCTGAATCCCCTATCTGTTCCTTCCTTCCTGACATCCCTGGAGGCCATGTCCATGAAGTGGGGCTCTACAAATGGGAAAGGTCTAGAAGGCCCATGAACCTGTAGCTTCACATTTTGCTGACGGTACAGATCCAGCTCTCTCCATTGCAAGGTGGATCCTAGGGACCTTCCCAATGAAACACAGGGCAAACTGGAAAGGATGAAAAATATATAAGTAGGAATTTACTGCATTTTTATGGGTGCGTGTGCATTTGTATTTAGTTTTTTTGAAGGCATTTCTTTCATGAAGAATATTAGTATCTAATTTCCTAGTCACCTGTTTGCATTAGAGAGACAGTCCCTGAGCGTAATCTCAGTCGCTGTCTGACCTTGAGCGAGACACTGATGGCCCCTGAACTTCTTTACCGAGGATATGGGGAGCAGAGCCAAATTGCTGGAAGACTGCAGTAAGGGCAGGGTGTGCGTGTATAGCACAGTGCTCCCAACACGGCAAGGGATGGACAAACTGGCGTTGACTTTTGCAAATATGGGCATGGGCTGGCCTGTTCTCAGGTTGCTAATTCTTTTTCTGTTAGGAAATAGAAGGGAAGTATTGTGTAAAATTATAAAGTACAGTCTCTCAAATAGAATTTACAAATCACTTCTCTCATGTCACATACGTGGGTAAGCCTTGAAATACAAATGGGCATTGCACAGATGTAACAAACGCATCTGGACATCCTGGAAGAAATGAAGCAAATAGAGCAATACTTTTGTGGTTTGATTTTAAGACACCCCAGGAGGGGCCTCTGTCCTCTATTCTAAATCTTCTCCATATATGCAAGGACAACGGATTCCTCCAAGAAGGGAGAACTTCCATTTGCTGTACATGGTTTATGGGTCTTATCTCACTTAATTCATGGGGTAACTTTGTGAGGTAGACAATTTTAGCCCCATTTCACAGATAATAAGACTGGGGTTTGTTGAGATGAAATCATTCGTGCAAATATTAGAACTCACCCCTAAGTCTGTGGTCTCCACAAACCACTAGTTTGGGACAGCAAGAGGATGCTAGAGAATGTAGCATAAAGGCTACCAAAGAAGGGCTCTTGGGCGCCCCAAAGATACATTTTACAGGCTGCATCATTTTTGCATCACATTCAATGTTTCCCCAATAGAAGCATTCTTGTACTTATTTCTGGGGAAAACAGTGTTCAATAATGATGGCATCTGAAATGTCTCAAAGGGAAAATGTTTGCCTTCCCCAAGTTTAGAGGGCACTGGGTTTAGAAGGGGAAGGTTTATCTGTGATTTAAACAGTATTTAAAGAAGTGCCCCACACGTAGACTGTAAACTTAAGGAAGGTGAAAAATGAGTTTGAGTAATAATAGTCAGCTTACATAAATTCTCTCTACAGCTTCAATTAGAACTTGTAGCATCTCTCTTCACTTTATAGTGTGCCTGTAAGCTGTTAGCCAGCTGCTGGGCTTCTGCCCAACAGTGACTGTCTATTAGAAATGGCTGAAATAATTCCCAATTATTTATGGGTTATTGCCATGTTTTCAAGCTTGCATTCCCATATGCTCTGAACCTATTAAAACCATCAGGATGGAGTTTATAAAGAGCACAAGCACTCATATACCTACGTTACTCTGTACCTGTCTTAATGAGAAGCAGATATGCCCTAGTTGCTAGCTATGCTAAATCAGTGTAATGGATTATTTTTTTTTTTTTAAGAACACTCTTTAAAAAGGTACAGTGTTAACCTTTCACGTGTACTATTACAGCCCTATAACTATGTGCATTTAAACCCTTGGTTCCTTTGGCGCCGGGATTTGCTTTGCACAACTCTTCAAAATTCCAGTTACATTCCTATGTGTACCTTTCTCAGCAACTAAGCCTGTTAATGCTAACAATTAACCAGACAATTACTCTGCCACCATCTTTACCCAAAGCGTAATTTCTTTTGAAAGTGTAATTCAGAATTGAATTTTGCATTTAGATCGTGTTTTGAGACAGAACTAACAGTCCCAAGAAGTGATAATGTGTTGCCTCCTTGGGATGAGTGAAGTATACCATGCAACAGAATGGTGGGTACTTTACTGATAGGCAAAAAGAAATAGGAATGAGATAAATGTTAAAGTAGTGGTATTCCCTTTAACATATTTTGTTTTCTGTTCTGTACAGCGATTGAGTATGCCCCATTTTGTACCAATTCCTTCTCTGAGAATGCTAGGATTTACAACAAAAATGCGTGCACTGCTATGAATGAAAAAGCCCCAAAATAATTAGACCTCCAGGTCCTCCATCAATAGGTTGCCAAAGCAATGACTGATCATTTCAGTATTCTTCTTCATTTTTTTTCTCTGTCCCACAGGGTGCCCCGACAATCTCACCGATTCCCAATGTTTAAATCCCATTAAGGCTTTCCAAGGCTGCATGAGGCTCATCTTTATTGATAACCAGCCCAAGGACCTCATTTCAGTTCAGCAAGGTTCCCTGGGGAATTTTAGTGATTTACACATTGATCTGTGTAGCATCAAAGACAGGTAATTATTGTCTCTTCTCTGTTCTCCCACCCCCTTCCCATTCTCACTGTTCTAAATATGAGTTTCTTTAAGCAAAATTCTAATCCACTGACATTAGCCACATTAGACATAATTGAGTCGCCTAATGGAAAATATTTCTGAAAGGATTTCAGGCCCAGAGAAAAATGGTTTAAATTAGTTGAGTCTCTCTTCCTGTTGACTTGCAGTAAATGGGATTTGCAAATTAAATCAAAATACAAATTTGTGACAGGATTAAAATTTTATGCATAAACAACATTCGATTAGTTTGAAGTTATGAGTAAAGCATAAAGGAGGGAGGGATTACTTTTCTCTTAAACCATTTTTATTCTCTACTGAAGTGAGCGTCCCTTCTAATGGGGGCAGGTGAGCATCAGGCCCTCAGGTTCTAGACCAGAGATTCAGATGGTGCCAGGGGCGATTCCTGGAGTGGCTGACCTTTGCTGTTGCTACCCCTAACCCACTGCTTCTTTGGCCCAGAAGAGACTAGGCAGGAGACAGAGAGAATCCGCACTTACACTCTGCAACCCACAAATCTAGCAGAAGCTTGGTTTCTCTCTTTATTTTTTCTGGGCCTTGACTCCTCTTGTATTTAAAGTTTCTAGGTTCAAAGACCTGCTGCAGGAAGTTAAAGATTCTGAATTTTCAACCAGGTTTATCATGATCTCCACGTTTTATCTCTAGCACTTACTTCTTTCATTCTCACAATTTTGCTCATTCCTGTCAAAATAGCACTTATTAAATGGGTGAATAATATGTGTTAAGGGCTTGCCTATGAGTTGGTGATACAGGGTCTCTGCTCATGTCTCATTGGGGAATAAATTAGCCATTAGGATAAAGTACAATAGACACCCACGAAGTGCACCCTTATTTGTGGGACATATGGCAGCTACAACTCAGTCTGACCTTGGGAAGAATGAGGTCAAAAAGGGTTTTAGGAAGTGGTGCTGAGCTGGATCTTAAGGAACCAGTAAGACTTGGCTGAGGAGTGGAGAGGAGGTGCTGGGATAAGATGGGTTCTCTGGACACAGTGTCAGAAATGACAGAAAAGTAGGAGAAATCATGGCTGGCAAGTATTTCATCAATTCAACATGCCTATTTTTCATTTTAAAATCTCAAATGTTGGGATGCATTTTATAACTGATGGTGTATCATCGTTCAATCAGCATTTTTTCTTAGTGGCATATAAAATAATGGTATGTCAATTTCTTTCATGAGTACTTTATAGTTTTCTGAGTATAGATTCTTAGTCTCTATCATGCTTAGCGAAATAAGTCAATCAGAGAAAGACATCTATCATATGATCTCCCTGATATGAGGAAGTGGAGATGCAACATGGGGGGTTAAGGGGGTAGGAGAAGAATAAATGAAACAAGATGGGATTGGGAGGGAGACAAACCATAAGTGACTCTTAATCTCAGAAAACAAACTGAGGGTTGCTGGGGGGAGGGGGGTTGGGAGAAGGGGGGTGGGGTTATGGACATTGGGGAGGGTATGTGCTATGGTGAGTGCTGTGAAGTATGTAAACCTGGTGATTCACAGACCTGTACCCCTGGGGATAAAAATATATTATATGTTTATAAAAAAAATGCATGGGAAAAAAAAATGGTATGTCTTACAATGAAGAGTGACAGAGTCAACAAACTATAGCTTGGTGGGGGTGTAAGGTCATTGTAGTGGAGTACGTAATGTGAATATGGTTAGAGATGGGGGCCAGTAGCCACTATGAAGAAATTTGTGTGCCTGTGGGATGTGGCCTCATGTGCTAGGTGAGAATCAGGAAGGAAGGTATGAAACTTGCTTCCTATAAAGAGTACTCAGGAAAAAAGTAAGAAGGATGGATTGGAAGAGAACCAGCCCATGCTGGGAAGGTAACTGCCCCTGTCTAGGGGAGCAATGATGAGAAGTAGCAGGTGCCTCTTCTGAGCAGCACAGAAATCAGCTCTGCAGGTTATAGTCTCTGCTGATGCTCAGAATGACCAATATAATTTGATGGAGCTTTACGTACATGTTTCTCTGTTAATACCATGACACATGGGATCCTCAGCAAATCACACAGACTTCCTGGCTCTTCTGCTTCATTTTTTTCTTCTTTTTTTCTATTTGACCAGCTGGAAAAGTGGGTAATAAAATGTGTGCTTCATTAGAATGTGCTAGCTTAGAGATCTCAGAATAAAAGATACTACACAGAATGGTTGCCACCCCTATAGTCTTTATTCACAACGAGGGGGAAGCGTCCAACTTCATCAGCTAGCAGAACCTTTTGCAAAGTGGAGTTCAATAGAGGAAACATTTATCAATAGGGATCTCTTATGATACCTTAATTTCTAATCAAGGATGCTCTCATTATTTTCGATTACATGAAAGTCATTGCCATCTATACTGCATCATTACTTTTGTGTAATTGTGGTCTGTATAATTGTATTACATACAATTGTGTTTTGGTTAATTGTATAATAAGGGATTGTGTTTAGTTTAGGGAGTAAATGGTACGTTTGTCTTGATTTACCAGACAACGCCTCTAACAGAAGGGGATACTGTGGTAAAAGGCTTTGCTTGATTAATTGTTTCTTGAACTTATATTTAACATTTGTTGGAGAGGATAAGAGTTAGAAAAACTGGTGGGTTCTAAGTTGTGTGTTTTATTTTTAATGTGTTGGCTAATTGAACTTGATTTAAGAGCAAATGCAAAGTCTTTGTTTAGACGGAGTTTGCCACTTGGAGGTGGCATAGGGTGGGGTGGAAGAGGTTGGGGTGGAGAAGCCTGGTTCTGTGCGTGTGTGTGTTTTCTCTTGGCTGTGTTTTTTCTTAACTGTGCTCCATTCAGGAAAGTCCAAGGAGAATAGCATTTTATCTGACCCAAGAGTCTCTTCTCTCCCAGATTCAATTTTCTGCCCCTTCGTCTTTGCCTGTAGAGACCCAGGCCTCCTTCTGGCCTCTCTGTGGTTGCCTGCCCAGCCCTCGATCTCCCTCAGAGTGAGCCGACCTGGCTGGCCAGAGGGAGTGTGCCTTCTCAGTGTCCTTTAAGGCTCTCAGTGTCAGTCACTGTGGGAAAACCAAGGTAGCATTCATAGAAGAGACACAAACATTCCAAAAATTGAAGAGCTTCCTCTAATGGGGGTCCCTTAAGCCATTTGCCTTTGAGGGGGTGCCTCTGTTGCCCAGCCTGAGCAAATTCACAAACCAGCCATGAGACAATGCTGGTAACAGCTGGGAGCATCCCTTCTCAGGGATTAAGGAATCTAAACTAACAATTTGCATTCCGATCATGGGCAAATTATCAAGTCTTCTGATCTCAGGGAAGAAAGGAAGTGGAGTAAGTGGCCTGGACCCCAGTCTGGCAGCAAAGAGGGCTGGCTTTAGGACGCACCATCTGTACAACTGCCCAATACCTGACAGTCCAACAGTGAGTTAGGAGAAGGAGAAAGGGCACCTTTTTAGGAATCACATTTGGGACAAGACAGCATTCCTAGCAGACCCCATGCACTTTCAATAGTCTTTCTAAGCCTCTAAAATATGATGTTCATCTACTATCCCTCCTCTGTGGGCTGAATCTTCAACCACACATTTTCCACACCCTAGACCCCTGTACTTATCTCTTGCAACCCCTCTTGGCAAAACATGATATTCTAAACTACATAGAATGAAGTCACCCTTAATAAATGCTTCATTCCATGATCGGCTTTATCATACCCTCAGGTACTCAACCTCATAGATAGGGATTGAGGGAATGAGTGAAGCAGTCTTATGTATATACTTGGGTAGTGTAAGATGTGGTACGAGCTGCCAAAGCCCTGGTGATACAACGCCATCAGTGTCCCCATTTTTTACAGAGGGTAAACTAAGACCTGGAGACATATGCCACTTTTTCCATGGCCACAGGATTGAACTTGTGGCTCAGAGTTAAACACTACCAGGTTTGCTCCCTTGTACTTCCACCCAACAGGCACTGACCTGGAAATGGCAGTCATTGTGTGTCTGTGGCTCTTACACAAGCAACCCCATCTTCTGCCAACCATATACAATTTTTTCAGGGATAATCAATATATTCATTCTTTGTAAACACTGGGTGCCTAATGAGATTTCGTTTAGAAGGGGGGCATTCAAAGTGGCATGTGGTGCCAAGTGGGTGGTTTCTGAGTGAAGTAAATCCTGGTGATACAGGTCAGGAAGTGCCTCTCCCCAGGATTTTTGTGGAAAGATCTACCAAGTCACTTGGAGGAGCCATGCCAGTCCTGCTGAGTCCAAAATCCAGGGCAGGAGAAGCAAATAACCAAATGTTGTCTACAGATTTGATTGGAAGACCGGATCCAAGGTGTGAAGCCAAACTTGGAGGAGCAAATAGGGAACCTGTCTGAGGTGGGGGCAGGTGGAAGTTACACCTAGGGGAATTCATTAATCTCTGGGTAGGTGGCAGCAAACTTGAGAGGTGATAGAATGTGTTTAATTCCCAGTCTACTACTTAGCATCCTGAGATACAACACATATTATTTAACCTTTTTGCTTCTGTTTCTTCTTTGTAGAAACAAGATCATAAAACTTACATTCACAGTGAGAGTTAAATGAGACAGTGTGAGAAATCAGGTTCATAGCTGCATGTCTAGTAAACAATAGCTACTCAGTAAATGTTCTCCAGGTTAATTTCCATAGTCAAAGGTTTGCTAGCTCTCTAGAGTCCAGCTTTCTAGCTCTCTAGAAAAGAGAAGGCTCGGGTCTCCCTCTGAAGTTCCTCAAGCCCAACATGGCCAAGTGATCCCCATAGTTTCTGGGATGGATCCCTATACATATACCTCATACATGCCCTCAAGTCAGTCTGCTCAGTTACTTGGACTTTGCACTTTGATTTCCACAGAAATGCTCTCTGGGCTACCAACAAACATCCATTAGATAGGTGCCCATCAATTTGGGTGCCAAGGTTGCAGTCTGTGGATTCTCCTAAAGCATTCCTTCTCAGGGCCTGGATAGGAAAAGGAAAGCATGTG